GAGAGAGGAGCTGGCACCACGGTGTCTGCGTCTCTCATGAAAGCCACTGCTCACCTCCACCTGGCCAGAGTTCCTTCGGTAAGGGACCCCCTCCACCACTGCCGCTGCCCCACACGGTCGGGGGAAGGGGGAGGGCCCAAGACCAGCTGGCGCTGCCCAGTTGCAGAAGGGGACATTAGATATGAAACAGGCATATACTGTGACAGTGGCTTCTGGGGGTGGCCAGGGCTGTGAGCAGATGTCAGCGTCAGAAGGTCACAGTGGCCATGAGGGTCAGAAGAACGCCCCAGTGTGGCACCTTCCTCTTTCTCGGTGCCCCGGTATCTGAATCCTCTTGCAGTATCCGAGGGCTCTGACTTCTCGGCAGGAGATCCTACCGGACGTCAGCGCCGAGGGCGGGCGGACTCGGGGCTCCTGTTCTGGTTGAGAGGATACTGGGGGGCAAAGGTGGCAGGAAGAGGTGCCGGGAAGGGGTGGTGATGGCTGAGGGATGGTTGCTGCTGTGCCGAGACATCCAGGTTTCGATGCTGAGCTAGACCTGGAAGCCGTTAGGTGTGGGATAAAGTCCCATTGTATGTCAAGCTTCCTCGGGAGATGCATGTAAAATTTTGGGGTAATTTCCAGGCCCTAGAAAAGCCAGACAAGGATGTTTGTCTTGGGTGGGTTGAGGTCTGGGAGACAGCCAGAGCCCCTGGAGAGCATCTGATGCAGGCTCAGGGCAGAGAGGGGAGAGGACCCCAAGAGCTATTAAAGAGGGCTGGTGGCGGATTAGAGGTGGCGGATGCAGGAGAAGAAAGCGTCTAAATGACTCCCAGATTTCTGGCCTGCTGTTTGCTCGCAGTTCCTCCTCCCTCCCCCAACTTCATTTTAATCTAGAGCAGAGCTGTCCCATAGAACTTGCTGCAGCGATGTGAAGTTCTCTGCTGTACCTTCCAACGTGGTGACCAGTAGCAAGTGGGGCTCTTGAAATGTGGCTAGTGCGGCCGAGGAACTGAGTTTTGAATTATATTTTTTTTAATTAATTTAATTTTAAATAGCCACACGTGACCAGTGGCTGATGCATTGGACAGCACAGGGCTAGGGCGTTACCTGCTTACCGTTTCGATCGAACGTTTGTGGTTCTGTCTTGAGCTGTGATCGGGTACCTGTGTGTTTCCTTCACTAGACTGTTATATTCTTGAGGTCAGGGAGTATATTTAATTTATGGTTGAATCACTTCCTCCCAAAGCTCTTGCACAATGCCGTGCGAATCACGGGCATTCGGCAAACAAGGCCTGGTTAGATCGGCAGCAGAGAGCACAGCTTGGACTTGTCTTCCGAGGCTCCTTCCAACCGAAGGAGATTATAGGCTTCTTGCCTCCAGAGCCGCTCACCCAGTGAGGATTAAAGAAGGAAATCAGTGTTTACAAAATGCCTTCGTCAAATGGCACTGGGCTGGGTGGAGCAGCGGCACAGAACGCAGGCACGGTCCCAGAGCTGCAGGTGTCCGCTGTCAATGCACGGCACGGTGACGCGGAAGTGAGGCCGAAATAGAACAGGACCAATTTAAAACGAATACAGGGAAACCTGGATGTGTGCACGAATAGTTTCTCCTTAAAGGATGCACCGCAGGTCCATATGAGGTCAGGGAAGGGATAAAAATTACTAACAGGGAATGTTCTCAGCCTTCCTGCCCTCCTCCGGGTCCTGCCTCCCACCTCCTGTAAAGGGGGATTCAGTCTCGTTGTGGGGAGGTTGGGGTGGAGGTGGGTGGGGTGGGCTGGGGAGGGGGTGCCGCAGCGCCGCAGGTCCCCGGGGGCACGGTGGGAGAAAACAGCCCGTAGAGCTACTGTGGGGTTTGGCTCTTACTCACAGGGTTTGGGAAAGGCAAGTACAGAACCTGAGTCATGTTGGATTTGTCTTCACTGGCTTTGACCGCAGCCCGGTTAGGAGACCGGGCCGTGTGGGTCCAGGCCCAGGAGGATCGCACACCATTGGTCAGGATGTCGGGGGCCACATCCCTGGACGCGCCTCCGCTGGTGCAGCACATTCTTCCAAATGACCTCATGGGGGCAAAACCTCACCCCGTGTAGGGGACTTCATTTTGCTGGAAATCGCTAAAGATGACCTGCAGCCAAGTTCGGTTAGATATTGGGCAATCCTGTTGTTGCCCAAAAGTGACTAAAATGATCATAATGTCATGATGCTGACTTTGCTGGAGGATTTGGTAAAGTGGTTCTTAAGGTCTTTTCAATGAAGGAAAGATTTCAGTCTGGGTTTGCTTTGGCTCCAAAGAGGAGGCTCTAGAGAAAAGCCCCCATAGCCCAGCCGCCCTTTCCCGCCGGCCTGAGCCCCTGGCTCTCTGCCGGGCGGCTCACACCCCTCCTGAGAATGCATCGCCCTAACCCAGCTGCTCCTGGCCCCGTCTCTGCAGACCAAAATCCCTGTGGAAAATCCCTTTTCCAGGCTGGAAAGAGACACAGCGACATGCAGAAGTGTGCTTCCATCGGGGCGGAGCGCCGGCTCTTAGCTGGGGGCAAATTGCGCCCCGGGCAGAGATATATGGCAATGTCTGGAGACACTGTGGGTCGTCACAACCGGGCGGGGCGGTGGTGCTAATGACATCTAGTTGGTAGAGTCCAGGGGTACAGCTAAGCATCCTCCGAAGCCCAGGCCAGCCCCCTGCCTGAATGTCAGTAGTGCCAAGGTGGAGAAGTCCCGGGTAGAATAATCCAAGGTAGCTTTTTACTTATTTTGTTGTTACTTTCCAACTTTTCTAAAAATGAATAATATATTATTTGGATTCGGAAGAAAAATGCTTAAAGAACGGAAAGCCTCTTTTCCTTTTAACTGGTACAGGCTTGGCACTAGAAAGGAAAAAAAAAGAGTAATTATTAAGGCGCCAAGGAAAAAACAGAGGAAATACAGAAATAGAGAAATAAACAAATTTAGAGAAATTCAATTTGACAAATATTTGTTGAGCATCAAAGTTCAGGGTGCCGCAGGACGCTTGGCTACCCCAGGCCTGGAGGAGGTCGCGCACAGTGCGCTGGGTAGAATCTCACAGGCCAAACAAAACTCTGCAGCATGAGACAATATGAAAAACAAAATCGAAAAAGAGGGAGGGAGTGTTCCCCCCGTTGAGGGGTCTGGGAAGCTTCAGGAAGAAGCTTGAGCTGGGTCTTGCCAGCAAGGTGGGGAGGGTCTTGTTGTCATCTGAAGTCAGCCCACCTGAGTTCAAATGTAGCCACCCTGCTTAAAAACTGGACAGTCTAAGGCTAAGTGGCCTCTCTAAATGGTCTCATGTAAAAATTGGGTACAATGATGAATGAATATTGTCTCCTTAAAGCAGTCACCGCAGGTCCTTATGAGGCCTGTGAGGGGGTACAGATGATTACTGAGGACATGTTCCCAAACCCACCCCTAACTTACAGGGTTACACGGACTGTTTGAAAGGATACCCGACACCTAGCACGGTGCCCGGTGCAGCTGTCGCTGTCGGCCTGGTCATCGGTAGGAGAGAGGAGAAAGGGTGCCCCTGGCCAAGGAAGAAGTACGCAGGCAGGTGGGCAGGTGTCGCGAGTTGGGGGACAGTGGTGGCTGGAACCTGGTGCTCTGAAGTGTGGTCGGCAGACCAGCAGCTCTGGCAGTGCCTGGGGGCTTTGTGAAGGTGCAGACCCCTCAGGGCCCTGCCCGGCCTTGCTGAACAGGAAGCAGCAGGTGTCCCCAGGTGTGCACATTTCAGGTTGAGCGGCAGGGCGGGAACACGGAGGGAGTGCCGTGAGGTCCAGCTGAAGAGTGGGGCCGGATTGGGGGGCTGCTCGTGCCGTGCCCGGGGCTGGGGAGATGGCAGATGGATGGGTAGGGAACGTAGATGGGTATTTGTCTTGGGGGCGGGCTGGGGGCCACAGAGAAGACCCGGCGGAGGCATGCATGGCAGGGAAGGAGAGAGATTCGGGGAAGCCTGCCTCTCCCCACTCCTGCCCCGAGGCCCCACGCTCTCACTCTCCCACGGTGGGAGGTTTCCCACCTCCGGACCGCAGGCTGCCCGGGGAAGCAAGTGGGCTGTTTTGCCTGTTTTAAGCCCAAGCACAGCGCCCTAACAGGCCCATTGGGAGCCCCCAGTGGACACTTCTTTCTAGAAGGACCACCTCAACACTGGACGAAGAGGGTCCTGTCCCAAGCACTTGCCGAAAGCGCTGTGAGCGAGAGACAGGGGGTTGCGAGCACCGTGACCCCGGGCCGGGCTGGGCCGGGCTGGGCATGTCCTGAATTAGATGCTGAAAACACTGGCGCGCCCCCTGGTGGCCAGAAAGCAGCTTGTGCCACCCCCCCTTCCCACTCACCTGCCACCTCTGAAGGACTGCGACAATGAGCCAGTGTTGCCTAGCGCTAAGGGACAGTGATCGCGCAAGACTCACTTGGGGTTTTGCTCATTGTCCTAAGAGGGATGGTGAGCGATTATCCATGGGGCCAGCGGCTGATGGACTCTCCTTCCTGAGAGGCTGGGTGGGTACAGACAGTGCCTTGCTCAGCGACACCAGCCTGGTGGGCCGAGGCTCTGGGGAGAGAGTTTGCATGTGCATGTGTGTGTGTGTGCATGTGCATGTGAGAGTGTGTGTGCACATGTGTGTGCATGTGAGGTGCATGTGCATTTGTGTGTGCATGTGAGTGTGTGTGAGTGTGTGCATCTGACTATGTGCATGTGAGTGTGCACGTGAGTGCGTATGTGTGCATGTGAGTGTGTGCATGCGAATGTGTGCATGTGAGAGTGTGTGCATGTGTGTGCGCACGTGTGTGTGCATGTGTGTGTGTGTACGTGTGCCTGTAAGTGCGTTGCGGGTGTGTGCATGTGTGATGCGTGTGTGTGTGTGTGTGTGTGTGTGGTTGTTCTCCTAGAGGAGTGTGGCGGAAGCATCTCGCAGTGATGAGTGGCTAGGTGAGCACCTCAGGCTCCCGGCGGTTTTTCTGCAGAGTCCCTCCTAACCTGGCACCTTCCCCATGTGTCCCCTTCCCACCAGGGCCCGGCAGGAAGATGGGCTCTCCTGGATGGGGACTTGCGCTGGTGTGCTGCCTGCTACTGGCCTTTGCCTGTGGCCCGGCCCTGAGCCTGGTGCCCCGTGTGCAGCAGGAACAGCCGGAGCAGGAGGGGACCACGGAGCCGCCTCCCCCGCTGGACCACACTGACAGGTGAGGGCTGTGAGGTGTGACTGCGGGGGCTCCGGCTCTGGCCGGGTTGAGCCTGGGGCTCAGGGGCCCCCGGGAGGCTGGTTCACTGTGAGACGTTGGGAGCAAAGGCCAAAGCTGAGAAGCAGCCCATGTGGACACCGGCCCTGGGGGCGGACGAGCCTGTCCTCCTTTCAGCGACTTGGGTGCCTTATCGGAAACTGCGCACAGCAACCCAGCCTCATCCCACGCCTAGGGGAGGGCGGTTTTCAGCCACATCCTCAAATCAAGAGCAGCCCTGCTTTCAGTTTGTCTTTCCATCCGCACTTTGTCCCTCGGGAGTGTCTGCTGGGGTTCTAGGCACCACTCGGAGGCAGGGACCGGGACGAGCGTCCCTAGGAGAGACCTGCCCTCAACCGGCACGTCTCATCCTCCCTCTGCACGGGAGGACTGGTGGGACCGGGCAGGCTGAGTGTTGGCTTTCCTCAGACAGTTGCGAAGGACGCGGACGGCGCCTGCCTTTGCATCTGTGGCCTGCAGCGACATGTAGACTCCAGGCCACTTGGGCTATTTCACAGGGACACACAAAATGCTTAGGGCTGCTCATCAGACTGCCACTCACCCATGTGAGGTCCCAGAGACCTGGATGACAGCTCAAGGCTGGCTTTGAGTCTCTTTAGTATTTTGAGCATCCGGCTGGCTCGATTCTCGAGAATTCAAGCTATCTTTGGAACACTGTGGAATTGGACAGGATTTGGGGCACAGCCGCACCATTCCTTTCTTTCTTCTTCCCCTTCCTGTTTGCACGGAGTGCCTGCTATCGGCCAGGCAGCCCGCCAGGCTGGAAACACACGAGAGGCACCGTCCTCGCCTCCGGGGACTCCGAGGCCTCGAGGGAGACAGACACACATGATGCGTGCAGTGCAGTGGGCTCCCCGGGACGGGTGTGACCACGACGCCGGGGGTGGGGGCTGGAGAGGGAGGGTCGGGGAGACTAAGAGGACCGAACTGGGTCTCAGAGGACACCTGAGGACCTCCCAGGTGCCCGGGAGCCAGATGGTGGGTGCAGAGGTGTGGCTGGTGGTGTCAGGGCCGGGGGCAGTTTGGGGCAGTGGAGCCGGTGCCGGGGCTGCAGGGTGGGAGGGCAGCCGAGCCCGGAGGCAGCTGAGTCTAGTGGGGGAGGGTCTCACCTGCACTTCATGCTGTAGGAAACCAGGGGAGTCGTGGAGAGAGCGTTCTAGAAAGAATGCTGGAGGGAGGTGGCAGAGGGGAGGAGTTGGAGAAAGATGGATTCCAAGGGTGCTCTGGAAATGGTGATGGGAATGGTGACGTGCTCCGGAGATGGTAAGGGCCAAGGGCCCAGTTCTGGAGGTAGTGAGGGGTGAGCACGGGGGCTCAGGACTGGAGGTGGTGAGGCCAGGGGAGCCCGGGATGAGGCTGAATTTAGGCTCCGCCCTGGACAGCCGGTGATCATGCTAGAAACAGCGTCTGGAAAGAGGAAGCTCCGGAAGCGAAGGGACGGGCACAGGGATTTCAGTTTTGGGCACGTGACGTCGTGGGGCCTGTTGAGTCCCTAGATGGAGACTTCCGGTGAGAAGTTTGTGCACGTCGAGGTCTGGGGCTTAGGAGAGAGGTAGGCGTGGCAGTGTTCATCTGGGGTCCTGGGCTCATGGCTGAACTCGGGGCACACACATCCACCTCCTGGACCGTCTGGGGTGCACAAGTGGGACTCGATAGGGAGCTGGCCCACGCAGAGGGACTCTGCTGTCACTGAGCTGGGTGGTCACAGCTCTAGAGCCAGGGCAGGAAAAGCCACAAGCCGGACAGCACGGTGCAACGCGGCGAGCTGCCGCGCGGGGGTAGCAGGGAGCTGTCACCATCCCTCCTGCCAGCGAGCTGGGCCTTCCAGCGTCGGCTGGAGACTTTATAGGCTCGGCTGCTGCAGGTCAAAGGAATCCTAAAGATCAAGTTGAACTCTGTCATTTACCAACAAGTCAGCTTAATACATCATTTTCTGGAATCACAGATGTGTGACAGGGAGTCACAGCTTCGTCCTGCGTCATCGGAAGACCCTCCCCTGGAGGTGCAGATTTCTCCAAGCAGCCTCTGCCCCGCACAGCCCTAAGTCATTGCTGTTTGTGTTGTTAGTGTTTCGGCGACCATGACGGCTGTTAACCAAGGGCAGGGGGCTCTTTCCGAAGTTCCATTTAAGACCCCAGGGTTTGCCGCGAGCCAAGGTTCACACGGAGCCTTGCACGGCAGGCGAGGGAGGGAGTTCGTGGTTTTCACTGTGACACTTTGTCCCCTCAGGGCGGAAGAAAAACATGAAAAATATAGCCCCAGCCAGGGCGAGGAGCTGCCCACTTCCCAGTGCTTCCGCTGCTGCGACCCCGCCACCCCCCTGTACCAGGCGGCCCCGGTGCCCCAGATTAACATCACCATCCTGAAAGGTCAGACCCTGCGAGGACTGGCGCAGGGGACCTCCCTGGGGGCGAGACAGAGGCAGGTGGGGCTGGGCGGGGGCAGGGCAGGCTGCTGTCGTCCAGAGAGGGGGACAGAGGAATTCTGGTTTTGAGGCTCCAGCCGCTTTCCAAGAGGAGGGCTCGTGAAGGGCGCAGAGGACCGAGAACGGGAGAGGGAGCCCAAGGGCTGCCTGGGGCCTCCTCCCTCCACCTGCACGTGGACTTCAGGCTTCTGTGTCCTTCGTCTCAAGGCTCGGTGTCCCCACCCGCTCGCCATGGCCCGGCACACAGCAGATAACCCTGCACAGCCCCGGGAAATCTGAGTGGGACGCTTGCAATCCGGATCCTGAGCCCAGTCCCCACATCTGCAGTTCATTTGCTCAGAGTGAGCCGTGGGCCTGGCCGCGGAGCCTGTTGCTTTTGGACAAACCCATGTGTTCCCTGTTCTTTGCCAGAGCTCTCCAGAAGGAAAAAAAAAAATTATTGCTTCTGGATGAGAATAGAACAGTCCCTGAGATCATGTGTTTGCTGGATCAGTTTGGGGGTTACAGTACCCTGGTGCCAGGATGGGGGACCTCACACGGGGGCGGGGGCAGGAGCGAGGCTCGCCAGGTCAGGGCTGTGACACCGCATCAGGATGGCGCCCAGGGCAAGGGGGCGCAGCCCAGGCATGGCGTGACACTGAATCTCTCACTCGATGTCACGTGTGTTCCTCTTCCTTTTAGGCGAGAAGGGTGACCGCGGGGATCGCGGCCTCCAGGGAAAATACGGCAAAACCGGCTCAGCGGGCGCCAGGGGCCACATTGGACCCAAAGGGCAGAAAGGTTCCATGGGGGCGCCCGGGGACCGGTGCAAGAACCACTACGCCGCCTTCTCCGTGGGCCGGAAGAAGCCCCTGCACAGCAACGAATACTACCAGACGGTGGTCTTCGACACGGAGTTCGTGAACCTCTACAGCCACTTCAACATGTTCACAGGCAAGTTCTACTGCTACGTGCCTGGCATCTACTTCTTCAGCCTCAACGTGCACACCTGGAACCAGAAGGAGACGTACCTGCACATCATGAAGAACGGGGAGGAGGTGGTGATCCTATACGCCCAGGTGAGCGACCGCAGCATCATGCAGAGCCAGAGCCTCATGCTGGAGCTGCGCGAGCAGGACGAGGTGTGGGTGCGCCTCTTCCGGGGCGAGCGCGAGAACGCCATCTTCAGCGACGAGTTCGACACCTACATCACCTTCAGCGGCTACTTGGTCAAGCACGCCGCAGAGCCCTAGCAGGCGGCCACCCCTGCCGCGCCGCCAGAGGCTGCCCCGACCCCTGCCCCCGCGCTGTGCAGACCCCAGGGCCCGGCACCAGCTGGCCCCATCGCCTCTCCCCCATCGCGACTTCCTTGGCCTCTGCGATCCCCGCTTCGGCATCCACCCAGACGCCCTCCACGGGACGGACGGGCAGCCAGATCTCGCCGCTGCTCCGCAGAGAGCTGACGGCAGATGAAATCACCAGGGCGGGGTGCCTGTGAGGACAGTCAGGGGGACCTCTGGCTCCCCTCTGTGCACACGTCCTCAAGTGACCTCGCGTGGCGGCAGGGTGTCCCAGAGCATAGCACCCCTGCCCCTTCCCTGGAAATAATTAGGCAAATTCTAAAGGTCTCGAAAGGAGCAAAGTAAACCATGGAGGAAAAAGCAGAGCAAAGCGTTATTTCTGTCTGTCCGGCCAGCTGCTGGCTCCCGAGGGAGGGTCCTTCTTGCTGGAGGTCGCACGAGGCTCTGTCCAAGAGATCTAAGGTGGAAGCCATAGGGCCTCCAGGAAACCACGTCTGGCTTAATTCTTTTAGGCCACATATGAGCCTTCTTTGGGGATAGCTGGACCCATGTCCATGTCTTGGCGACGTCCCCGTGGCCTTGCCCAAGGGCTCAGCTGGTCCTTTCTGAGCCACAACAGTGAGGGCATTGGGGCTGGGGCAGCAAGTGTCAGCCCCCCAGAGGGACAGCCACGCCCTCCGCTGTTGGCTCTGAGCTGAGCTCTGGGCTCCCGACAGCGGCTGGGGACCTCAGGGACCCCCAGACCTGCAGATGTTTCTATGAGGAGCAAAGCCCCCGGTACACCCAGGCACGGTGCTGCTCCACGCCCCACGCCAGCTCAAGCCCTGGTGGGGTCTCCATGCCTGCCGCCCTGTTCCTCCTCCACACGCAGCAGCCACGGAGGGCCCTGGCCGGTGGTTCTGTTTTCTGTCAACGCCGCTCACGCCGCGCAGGGCCCCGTTTCCTCCGGGGTTCAGCCTCCCGGGCTCCGCGTCCGCTGTCTTGCTTTGCAGCCAGGCCGCTGGCACCGTTCAGGTCCCCACCGCCCCTGCCCAGGCAACACAGGAGGGGCTTTCTCGGGTCCCAGAGCAGGGGCAGCCAGAGGGGTGCTGGAAGGCTCCTGTGAGCCTCAGTCCCGAAACCAGAGTAGAAGGGAGACGCGTCCCGACACTGGGTGGGGACTCACTCCCAGGCGGTGGGTGTCGGAGAGGCGGTGGCCGCCCCCCCCAGCTCTTTCAGGACCTCTGGAGCGGGCTGCTGCGTCTGATTGGTGCCCTGGCCCTGCCTCGGCAGCGGGCGGCCCTGGCGTTCCCTGACCTGCAGGACCCCACGGCCCGACCCCACCGTGCCAGGCCCGAGACCCTATGCGGAATTTCCTCCTGCCGCCTGGTGATCCCTGGTTTTGACTGACTCCTCTTCCCTCTCTGGGCCGGGGGGGCTCTGGGGTCCTCACGCATGTCCCTCTCTCTAGTGGACTTCTGCTGGTCAGACCAAAGCTGTCCCCTCGGGTGCGCCCACCGCGAGCAGAGTGCCACCCGCCGCTTGAGCTCCCTGGTGCTCCTTCCGGAAAACATTAAACTCGGAATGGTGTTTTTCAGCATCCTGGCCTCGTCCGTTTGTGCCCTGAACCAAATCCTCTTCCTTTCCTCCTGTCCATCCGCGCCCACCCTGCCTGTCTTCATACTTGGGACACGCGAGGACACCCTCGTTCCCCGCAGGGTGCCGGGAGGGGCTGGTGGCTTGTGAGCGGTGGCGGGAGGCAGGGACCGCGGTCCGGGAGAAGCAGGGACCAGGGAGGCAGGAACTCGGCCACGGCTCCGCAGCCCGGATAACTGTACTTACTTCCTGGGGCTGCCAGACAAGCCCCACAAACTGGGTGGCTTAAAACAACGGAGATTTATCCTCCCACAGATCTGGAGGCCAGATGTGGGAAATCAAGGTGTCGGCAGGGCTGTGCTTCCTCGGAAGGTTCCAGGGGAGGGTCCTTCCGTGTCTCTTCCCACTCCTGGGGGCCCTGGGCGTCCCCAGCTCGGGCCTGTGTCACCCCAGCCTCTGCATCCATCTCCCTGTGGCTTCTCCTCTGTCTCAAATGTTCTTCTCCTTCTCCTACGAGAACACCAGTCACTGGGTTGAGGGCCCACCTAAACCCAGCACAGTCTCTTCTCGAGATTCTTAACTTAGTTATATTTGCAGAGACTGTTTCCTAATAAGGCCACATTCACAGGTACCAGACTTAGACTCGTCTTTTTTGGGGATACGTTTCACCCCACTGCAGTGGTGTATGGGCTCGAGCACACCCTTCAACAGCCCCTTTATGCCCCAGCGGTGCAGGGCAGATGCTCCTTCCTCTCTCCGTCACTTGCCAACCCGGTTAGCAGCCAGGCCCTTCTCCAACTGCCAGGGGCAGGACAGAAGCTGCCTCGCTCCCTCTGGTGCCAGCAGGCTGGCAAACAGCCGCTCTCCTCCCTTTGCCTGGGCCTGGGTGACCCACGTGGTCCTGCTCAGGCTTGGCTGGGGCCGGACTCTGTGATCTGCTCTCTGCAGGACAAAGAGCGGGCCCCCTCCTCTACAGAGCTGAGGCCTCTCGGCAGAGGACGGGCTTTTTTCTGTGCGGAGGGTCGGAGGGTGCAGGGGCTGAGTGCCTTTCCAAGGTGTCTGGCAGGGACCAGTCAGCTTTTCCAGGGACAGAGTCACGTGGACCACGTAGCAGGGCCGGCCCAACCTCTTCTGATGCCCTCCCTCTTTGGACTCCTTCTGCCCCCGTCCTTCCAGGCTGGCCTGACGCTCTGCTCACTCCTCCTCCACTCTTGCTCCTGCTTTGCAGCAGACCACGTGCCAGGCCTGGGGGCAGAAGGACAAATAAGACGTGGTCCTTGCCTTCCCGAGGATTTCCCCAGGATTCTGACTGTGGTGCGACACAGAGGCCAGCCTCCTCCAAATTGCACATTTGGTACTAAAAGTGACCTGCTCCACCTGCTGCCTTCCCCAGGCAGTTTACCTTGACAGGGCCTTTTCCCTGTTTCCTGTCCCCAGCTAGTGAGAAATTGGCTAACTGTCTCCGGCATGGACTTGGAAAACTCAGTTGTAATACAAATATCAGTGTTTTAGAAAAAAAAAAAAGACTTAGAAATGGCTGATGACTCAGCCAGAGGAAAGGATTGCTTACATTAGTTTATATTAAGACTTTCCGGAGTCTCTGTGGCCAGGGCTGGGGGTAAGACGGGTGCTGTCTACACTGGTCCTCAGGGACTGTTTTCTGTAGGGTTCGCTGCGGGAACACGAGAGCGTGATAACAAGCTGGTTTTCTTGGGCCACAGCAACTGGGATAACACGAGACATTCTTGCCCAGGTCCTGAAAAACAGAAAATAAATAAAACGAGATGTTGCCACATGCACAAGAGTGGAGTTGGGCCCCTATCTCACACCGTATATAAAAATTAATTCAAAATAGATCAAAGGCCAAAATACAAGAGCTGAAACTGCAAAATTCTTAGAAGCAACCCTGGGCATAAATCTTCATGACCTCGCGTTAGGCAATTGTTTCTTAGTTATGACACCAAAAGCACAAGCAACAAAAGAAAAAAAAAAATAAATTGCACAGCAACAAAATTTTAGACTTCTGTGTGTAAAGGACACCAGGAAGAAAGCGAAAGTACAATGCGCCGAATGGGAGAAAATATTTGCAAATCATGTATCTGATCAGGGACTTGTATCTGGAATATATAAAGAGCTCTTGCAACCCAACAATAAAATGACGACTACTGCGATTAAAAGTGGGCAAAGGACCTGAACACCAGGTGGCTCTACGCAAGGAGACACACGGTGACAAATGTTTGGGAGGATGTGGAGAAACCGGAACCCTCACACCGTGCTGTCAGGAATGGAAAGCGGTGCCGCCTCTTTGGAAACAATCCGGCAGTTCCTCAAAACGTTCAACACAGAGCTGCAGCCGACCTAGCAATTCCGCCTCTAGGTGCACACCCCAAATAGATGAAAACATACGTCCCTGCAGAAACTTGTAGATGGATGTTCACAGCAGCTTTACTCATAAAAACACAAAAGTGGACATAACACAAATGCCCATCGGCTCATGGATGAATACACAAAATGTGGTCTGTCCACACCGTGGAACGTCGTTCAGCCACGAAAAGGAATAAAGTCCTGGCACCGGCTCCGACATCCGCAAATCTAAAAACATTATCTGAAGGGAAAGAAGCCAGACCCGAAAGACCACATACTGTATGATTCCATAGGTATGAAAGGTCCGGAACAGACAATCCACAGAGACAGAGGGTGGGGAGGCTGGGGGCAGTGGGGGCTGACTGCTAATGGATATGCAGTGTCTTTTTGGAAGTGATGAAAATGTTCTAAAATTGACTGTAGTGGTGATGGCGCAACTCTGTGACTATACCATAAATCTTTGAACTGTACACTTGAAATGGGTAAATTATATGGTATACAAATTATTTCTCAATAAAGCAGTTATAAAAACAAATAGAATACACATAAAAACAAAAAAACCAGGTTGCCTTGTCCTTCTCTATGGAGGGCCGGGAAGTCCTCCAGCTCCAGAGGTAGAACCTTCAGCGTCTGTCATAAACCCTTCGTTCCAGGCTTGGCTTATGACGGGGCCAGAGGCTGGGCCGGCGAGGTGGGACGGGAGTGTCAGGGTTAGTGCTTCCAAGAACGTCACTAAACAAGCATTCTTGAATCAATTGGTGGGTGAGATCATAGAGTCAGTAGGAGGCTGACTCAGGTGCCAGGGGAAGCGTCCCACAAACAGTGACTAACCGCGGACCAGGCCTTCCTCTCCGGAGTCCCTGCACAGCTGGGGCAGCGATCGGGAAGCTCTGGTGACCTCAAGTGCCCCTACTCAACTGGCCCCAGGAGCCAGCCCCTGCCACAGCCCATCTCATCGTGCAGACGGCCAGGCAAGGACAAGCAATTTCCACTGTAGAGATTTTACAAATAGGATTAGTCTACAAGCTCTGGACAGTTTGGAAAGCTCCCTGCCTAAAGACAGATAAAACATTCCAACTGTTCAGTTGAGAACAAGAGGGCTGTCCACACAGGAGCCGTTGTGGTTGGTTCTGAAGTTTATTGTCGAGTCTTCCAGCTTCAGCTTGGAGGGCTTCAGGAAAAGGTCACTTTTAATTTCAGTGATTCCAAGCTAGAAAGGCAGGAGAAAACTGGAGATAGTAGTTTGGAGAGTCGTAGCCAGACATCGGAGGAAACTGAAAGAATTCAGGATCCAGCCCAGCTTGCAGGTAGATAATAAAACCTCAAAGAGAATGAACAGGGCTAGAATGCAACAGTGGACGCGCTCTAGTTTTCTTCCGAAACCCAGCCCATCACCTTTGGCCTGGTTAAAACTTCCCCTCTCAGTGTGGCTGCTTGTTCCTCGCCCCACAGACCCGAAACCCAACACACCCCCTAGTCGCTAACTACGATAAAACCTAACAGTCAACACCAAGTAAGTTCCCCCTTTTTCTGCGTCTTCTTTAAACTAGCAACCCACAACCCCTGCAGGAAAGCATGAGATGCAACCCAGTCCCTACGAAGGCACAGTCCCGAAGGTCTCTCTCTCCCACTGCCCTCCTGCTGCTGTGGGCTCCCCTTGGCCCTCGTGGGCAGCCCTGTCTCCAGGAGCTGTGGGTGACAAACTGCTCTGTCACCCACGTGTTCTGTTGTGCTGTCTCCTCTGCGTCTCACCTGACCCACGCACCTGAACCCAGCTCTCCTCCCGGACGGGGGGGGCTATCTTGGTGGGAACAAGCTGGGCGCGGGTCACACAACAGCCACAAGGGTGGCACCCAGTGTAAACACGTTTCCTGTGCTGGGACACCTGGTCACAGGTCGGACACTTAGACATTAGGCAGTCGCCAGATTAAAGAAGTAGCCTGTGGGCCAGGTGCAGTGGCTCATGCCTGTAATCCTAGCTCTCTGGGAGGCC